CATACCTTAATCCTAGTTTTCCGACTCCATACCTTAATCCTAGTTTTCCGACTCCATACCTTAATCCTAGTTTTCCGACTCCATACCTTAATTCTAGTTTTTGGACTCCATACTTTAATCCTAGTTTGTGGACTCCATACCTTAGTCCTAGTTTTCCGACTCCATACATTAATCCTAGTTTTCTGACTCCACACATTAATCCTAGTTTTCCGACTCCATACCTTATTCCTAGTTTTCGGACTCCATACATTAATCCTAGTTTTCCGACTCCATACATTCATCCTAGTTTTCGGACTCCATACATTAATCCAAGTTTTGTGACTCCATACATTAATCCTAGTTTTCCGACTCCATACCTTAATCCTAGTTTGTGGACTCTATACATTAATCCTAGTTTTCCGACTCCATAACTTAATCCTAGTTTTCCGACTCCATACCTTAATCCTAGTTTTCCGACTCCATACCTTAATCCTAGTTTTCCTACTCCATACCTTATTCCTAGTTTTCCGACTCCATACCTTTATCCTAGTTTTCCGACTCCATACCTTAATCCTAGTTTTCTGACTCCATACCTTAATCCTAGTTTTCCGACTCCATACCTTAATCCTAGTAGTTTTCCGACTCCATACCTTAATCCTAGTTTGTGGACTCTGTACATTATTCCTAGTTTTCCGACTCCATACCTTAATCCTAGTTTTCCGACTCCATACCTTATTCCTAGTTTGCTGACTACACCTTAATCCTAGTTTTCCAACTCCATTCATAAATCCTAGTTTTCCGACTCCATACCTTATTCCTAGTTTGTGGACTCCATACCTTAATCCTGGTTTTCCGACTCCATACCTTATTCCAAGTTTTCCGCCTCCATACATTATCCTAGTTTTCCGACTCCATACCTTAGTCCTAGTTTTCCGACTACATACATTAATCCTAGTTTTCTGACTCCATACCTTAATCCTAGTTTTCTGACTCCATACCTTAATCCTAGTTTGCCTACTCCATACCTTAATCCTAGTTTGGGGACTCTATACCTTAATCCTAGTTTTCCGACTCCATACCCCTAGTTTTCCGACTCCATACCTTAGTCCTAGTTTTCCGACTCCATACATTAATCCTAGTTTTCTGACTCCATACCTTAATCCTAGTTTGTGGACTTCATACCTTAATCCTAGTTTTCCGACTCCATACCTTATTCCTAGTTTGCTAACTACACCTTAATCCTAGTTTTCCAACTCCATTCATTAATCCTTGTTTTCCGACTCCATACCTTATTCCTAGTTTGTGGACTCCATACCTTAATCCTAGTTTGCCGACTCCATACCTTAATCCTAGTTTGTGGACTCTGTACATTAATCCTAGTTTTCAGACTCCATACCTTAATCCTAGTTTTCCAACTCCATACCTTAATCCTAGTTTTCCAACTCCATACCTTAATCCTAGTTTGTGGACTCTATACATTAATCCTAGTTTTCCGACTCCATACCTTAATTCTAGTTTTTGGACTCCATACTTTAATCCTAGTTTGTGGACTCCATACCTTAGTCCTAGTTTTCCGACTCCATACATTAATCCTAGTTTTCTGACTCCATACATTAATCCTAGTTTTCCGACTCCATACATTCATCCTAGTTTTCGGACTCCATACATTAATCCAAGTTTTGCGACTCCATACATTAATCCTAGTTTTCCGACTCCATACCTTATTCCTAGAGTGCTGACAAACAGGAACAGTAGTAGCTTTATAGGGAGATACAGAGTGTGATTGTTTGTCATAGCTTTATAGGGAGATACAGAGTGTGATTGTTTGTCATAGCTTTATAGGGAGATACAGATCAGTGTGATTGTTTGTCATATCACCATAAATAAGAGATTTTAATGACCTTCATGGGTTATGAAATTGATGCGGATTATAAGTACACTTTGTGGTTCTGACCATTGAGATGCAAGTAAGTCAACTATTATGATTTGGTTTGGTTTGGTTTGTTTGTGTTTTACGTCCTATTAACAGCTATGGTCATTAAAGGACATGCCATGTTTTGGTGATGGAAGAAAGCAAGAATCCCCAGATAAAAACCACCGACCTATGGCCAGTACCTGGCGACTGCCCCAGGTAGGTCTCAAAACCGCAACCCAGTGGTGGATGGCTAGTGGTAGCAGAATGTCAGCAACTATTATGAAAAAGAATCCCTAAAAGGTTGTTTTGATATAAAAAAGGAATGCTTTCTACACCAATTGTCTAAGTATAATATGGTGATCATAATATGTGGGGTCATTGAAACATCACAAGTGCTCGTCCAATGGAATTGGAAGTGTTGTAGACTTTGTAAATACATCAATTTTACAATAACCATTGCTGTGTATTCATCACTGACAAGTCAATGATAAATAAATATATCTCATAATTTACTGGCATTTGATTTCATCTAAGAGTGGACAGATCAAGGCTTAAATTAGTTTGGTATTTAATAACAAAACAAAAATCAATATTTAAATAAATTCAGTTTAATTAATCATTTGAAATATTACCAACCAACAAATTAATCAGTTCAAAGATGAAATTAACCCATAGGTTGTTTGTAAATTTGGTATCGCATCAATAGAACAATTTTAACGAGGTGCATTAATTGTAACAGAACTAAATTGATTTTATTAAGCAAGTTAAATGATTTACCAGTTTATTTTCCCTAGTTCCCATTTCAATTATAGCCGAATATTTTACGGATATATAGTTTCTGATACATATTCAGTATAAATGAATTATTCTGGAACAAATAAATAATTGATTTATTTCCATATGTAGTGAAATAGCATTAATGAAATCCCTATGTTATAATAGGTACCTAGGGTTTTCCTGGGGACATAGATTACCAGCAGACACGGAACAACGGCTTCCCGTTGCTTCTCTTGAGGGCCTTCAGGTGGTGACAAAGAAGGTCATGTGATAAGAGCCATTTCAGGTTTTGCAGTGTTGTGTAATATCACAGCAATTTAGAATTTTGTTCAATTCAAATGAAGAAAAAGGTCGATTTGTGCCTTCACAATACAAGTTTTTTTCTGACCCTGAAGCCACATCTGCTGGTATCTATACATATCCCCTAGGAGGGGTCCATCACACAACCCCTCCCTTGGGAGCCCTCATTACTCACATGTAAAAAATAAGCCCTGATCATTGATGTGAACTATTCAGTACTGTAGAATTTTTGATAATGGCATTTTTTTTACTTTCTACTTACTATTTAGATATTTTCTCATTAGAAATCACTAATTATGTACCATTTTTCTGGTAGAGAGTCCATACACTCTGGATTGTAACTCTTTGTGTTGTATTTTAGATGAAGAAGATGAAGAGGTCCAATTTATTCTGCATTTTCAGACTTTTGTTGTTGCTTGTCCATTCACTATAGAGCAGAGATTTTTTTATTCATTATTATAACGTGATACATTTTTGGCATTGACCAATCAAAACAGTTCCTCCCCTTCACTGCATCCAAAGCTGCTCATTTTCTGGTCAGATGCAAAAGGTTTGATACATCTTATCTATATACAGTAAGAACTTTACCTAACAACACAAAAAAAAAAATTGCAAGAAAATCTTATCAGGTATATATGAGCAGAAACCAGCAGGGTTACATTGCCTTGTTGTCAAGCATGACTTTACATAAATATGGTACTAAAGATGACATCATTGAATTTCCAACTCAGCTAATGAAGTAACATTTCCTGTGTTGAATGTATTAAACATAATAAACAGAAAATGTAATGGTTTTCCTTTCATTCATATTGCAGAACATACCAAAATTTACACTCATGTTTTGCACTTATGAAAAACATTGTTACTCTGCCAATGTTGTGAAATATATATGGTATTCAATGGGAAACTATTTTTTATCATTTATTTCACTAAAACCTCTTGTCACAGGAATTGGAACCCTGGACCCATTGATTATAAGGATGGGAGCTTATCCACTATGCTACTGCTTAAGAGTTATGTTAGTACTTCTGCAACATTACTGTGAATTATTTCAAAAAGATTGAACTTGATAAAAAAAAGTCTCTGGCAGTTAATAGTGTCATTGTATGATTATACAAGAAATAACATAAGGCCCAGTCTATGTTTATTAAGTGCACATATGGGTTCTTCAAAAGAAATTGTTGATTTGTTTTTACATATTTGACCCCGTGACCTCAAAATACATCAAGATCATTTCTGTTTGACAACTTTGTTATGCTTAATCTCAGGAATCTACCAGCCAAATATTGTGGCCATATACCTTTTGTTTCTTCAAAAGAAGTCATTTGAAGTTTTTGACATATTTGACCCCTGTGACATTGTTAGAAGGGTAGAGCCATTTTAATTCGCAAAATTTGTAAGGCTCCAACTCAGGAATCTACTAGCCAAATATCATGGTTCTAGGCCTTTCAGTTCTTCAGAGGCATTCAATTTGAAGTTTGACCCCCGTGACCTTGAAAGCGGGTCAATGTAATTTTTAATGAAACTTTGTAAGGCTCCACCCCGGAAACCTACCTGCCAAATATTATGACTGTACCTTTTGTTTCTTCAAAAGAAATTGTTTGAATGTTTTGACATATTTGACCTTTGTGACCTTGAAAGTAGGTCAAGGCCATTTTGTCCCAACATTTTGTCATGTACTATCCCAGTCATATAACAATTAAATATTACGACACTAGGTCTTTTGTTTTTTCAAAAGTCATTTGAAGTTTTTTTTTACATAATTGACCCCTGTGGCCTTGAAAGTGGGGTAAAGTCGTTTTAATTCACAAACATTGTAAACTTCATTGATATTTCAAAACATAATCAGAAGGAGAATGCAAGCTTGCACAAATGGTGATTCCCAGGGAGTAACACAGCCAATGAAATCTTTAGAATCTTCGATCAGGTCAGCAGCTTCCATCACAGTCAGATCCACAATTTACTGAAGGCTGTAAAAGAACTTGTGTTGAGTTTTCATAGGATCATTTTTTGATAATTTTTGACTTACCTGGAGGACATTGTTCTCAGGTGCAGCAATGATTTCAACTGTGTTGGTCAGCTGTGAAAAGGTGGACAAGGCAGGTGCTTGTATCAAATGGTCAATCAGGCTGTTACACACCTATGGAGAGACAATGTTCAGTTAAACAGGACATGTGGACAGACAGCTTGGTGAGGACACACACATAGATAAGATAGAAACAATAGACAGACAAGTAATGCTTAGAAGCCTTGCAGACAGACAAGACAATGAGGATGCAGACATACAAGTAACATAAAAAAGTACAGAAAGAAAAAGATTACTTACAGTTCAAAAATTAAAGAAGAAGATGACGTACATACAGACAAGACAGATAACACAGGCCGACATACAAGATAGATAGGACAGACAGACAAAGGGACAGATAGAGAGGACAAACAGACAGAAAAAATAGTGAACACAAAAAAACAAAATTAAGATGAAATATAGATGATAAAGGTGACATACAGACAGACAAGTTATATAGGAGATACAGACAGACAAGTTATATAGGATATACAGACAGACAAGATATATAGGATATAGAGACAGACAGACAAGATATATAGGATATACTGACAGACAAGATATATAGGATATACAGACAGACAAGTAAGATAGAGGACAAACAGACAGACAAAATAGAGGTGACACAAACAAGATGAACAGAACACGGACAGATAAGATTAAAAGTACACACAGACAGACAACATCAAAACAGACAGACAGGATGAAAAAGGACACACAGACAGGTAAGATAAAAAAGGACAGACAGGATAAAAAGGACACACAGACAGGTAAGATAGATAGGTCACACAGACAGACTAATACCCCCGCGGATGCTGGTAGTTTATACATCATTTAGTTAGTTTCACCTGAGGTTTCTGGACAAGTTATTTTGCATAATTGACCGAAACTCTATTAAAAAGTGTTTAAATCTAAAATTAAAATGCCGGTGCACAACTACATAATAAACCCATCGTTCGAGTGAAGTTTCAACAAGTATTTTGCACAAAGTTACTGTGGAAGACAGAGAGACAGAGAGACAGACAGACACACAGACAGGGTGATTTCAGTATACCCCCCTAACTTTGTTGCAGGGTTATAAAAAGGATGCACCACAGACAAGTTGTATAGAACACACAGACAGACAAGACAGAGAGGATAAGAAGACAGCGTCAGGACGGACTGAGGTTGATGAGGCGCAGTACTGTCTATAAGGATACTTGCAGTCTCACCTTACCTTTAGGATCACATCTAAAGAGTTACAGTTATTTACATTGACATCAACAGCTAGTAACAGTACAACCAGAAAAAAACTTGAATACTCAATTTCTGCACATAAAATTAAGTCTCAAATGTCAGTATTTTCTTAAACTAAATTCTATTTTGGTTTTCTAAAGATTTTTCTGGGAGTTTCTTCAAAGTACTAGTGACCTCAGGTGGAGATGGTGAGGTTCAACACTATTGATTTTCTAATGAAATTATAACTTTTGTGTAAAATCTATTTATTTTACTACTAACCTAGCTATCAATGAATATAGAATGAACAGTTAAAAATCCCCTATCTGAACTCTTTGTTTTGATATAGATTTCTCCTAGCCTGTTCCATTTGCCATGGGAGGGAAAAAGGCAAGGGCTAAATGAATTACCCGCTAATATGGACACCGCAACTGCACTAAAAAGTAATGGTGCAGCACTTTATTAGCCATTTTGTACTTTTACTCTCAACCAGATCCCTCGCTAAATCCCTCCTATTAATCACTCTGAAAAAATATCCCGAAACATTCAAAATCGTGAAAATTATTACCCTGTTAATAAAGTGTGATTCGTAGTAGTTGCGCAGCCGTGCTCTGGGATCATTAGATGTGTGTCGATCGTACTGGTCCTTATAGACGATAGAGGCAAGCAGTCTATATAAGCTGTACTGGGCAAGTGAGGCCGCTAAAGTACACCCTAGCAACAGATTCCACTAACACGTACAAGGTTTAAATACACACAAAACACTATTTAAGAATGAATCCATCTATACTTTTATTTTCTTCTGTATCTTTGCGAACGTTTGATTTTTCTTGTTCCATTACGTAATTAGTGGACCTAAATCCCTGATGTCCCTCGGTAACAAAGCTTTATGTCAGGTCTAGAGAAACCCATCTTATCTTCAACAATGAAAAGCAATTACGCTTCTAGTAATTTGATGAGCTTAATTACCTTAACCTTTGACCACAGTTTTATCACAGTTATTTATCACAGTATTTTAGGATTAGTCCAAACAAATATTGAATGTTAGGTACTCTTAGTAGGTTGTAAAAGTACTCTCGATGGAAAGTACACTTAATCATTCTTCAAACTAAGGGATGGATATCTTACACTTAAATATTGAAAATAGAGTAGTTTAAGAAATAATATAGCTTTGGGAATAAGATAGCAACAGGAATGAGGTAGTCTTGGAAATAACATAGTTTTAGAAATAAGGTAGTCTTAGAAATAAGGAAGTCTAAGAAAAAAGAAAGCTTTATAAATATAATAATAATAATATACAGCATTTGATATAGCATAAGCCACTCTAAAGCACTTTACAGTACATAGATATTCAACTTATACAATTAGCATATACATTTTAATTCAATTTTTGAGGAATTCGCGGGAGCTGCCTTATCAGGCGCTAACTACTAGTCCTATGCCACCTGGCTAATATCTCCCTATGTGTGTATGCCTGCGTGTGTGCTGGAGATGTATTGTGTTCTGTTTGTAGTGGGACCTTGCTTCCAACGGCATCTTTTAAAGTGCGACCGCACTTGAATGCTACAGCACAGATACCGCAACATCCACCCCAGACCATTTTATACTCCACCTGGGTTGTTGGAGTTGTGTGGGCAGGAGAAAAACACTTTCTCTGATATTCCATGCGTACGACGACTTCGAGGATTGAACCCCAGCCGTCTGCGTGGAAGGCCAAGTGTTAACCACTCAACCAATCCGCCCATAAATAAGGTAGTCTTAGAAATAAAACAGCTTCAGAAATAAGGTAGTCTAAGAAATAAGAAAGCTTTACCAATAAGGTAGTCTTAGAAATAAGAAAGTTTTACAAATAAGGTAGTCTTAGAAATAAGAAAGTTTTACAAATAAGGTAGTCTAAGAAATAAGAAAGCTTTACAAATAAGGTAGTCTTAGAATAAAATATCTTTAGAAATAAAGTGCCTTTGGTAATAAGGTAGTCTTGAAATTGGATAGCTTTAGAAATGAGGGAGTTTTAGAAATAATATAGCTTCAGAAATAAGGTAGTCTTAAAAATAAGGTAGTATAAGAAATAAAATAGCTTTAGAAATCAGGTAGTCTTAGAAAAAGAAAGCTTTAGAAATAAGATAATCTTAGAAATAAGATAGATTTAGAAATAAGATAGTCTTAGAAATTGGATGGGGTCAAATGCTGACATAGCTCCCCGCTAGAGATACTAATGTCACTACAGTGCCTCTTGTAAATGCTAGGAAAGGTTACCGTCTCAAATACCAGGTAGGTTCTGTCAGCAAGTCACATGTCACACCAATGCTAAGTAGCAATACTAAGTAGCTGAGTGACAGTGGTGAAAGGCGAGCCTCCAGTACCTTCAAAAAACTTGAAAACCGTGGCTAAGGGAAGGACAACCCTAACAGAAAAACCCTAGCCCACCAGGTTGGGGGTTGAGTACAGGGGCTAACAACCTGGTCTTATAAAAACAATAACGTTATGGAAACAGCAACGAAGAAATCTAACCCAACGCTGTGTAAAGATCTTCCATGGGTAAAGACTTGTATGTCTGACAGTAGTGAAAGCTGAAAGGGGGCTACTGGCATGACAATGGAAGTTCTGAACACAAAATCAAGAACCAACCTTGGTTTTTGGAATGTCCGTTCTATGTATGAATCAGGTAAGCCTGCACAGGTAACATCGGAGATGTGACGCTACAACCTACATATCATGGGTGTGAGTAAATGCAGATGGACAGGAACAGGTAGACAGACGACAGTAACGGGTGAGACACTTCAATACACCGGTAGAGGCGACGATCAACACACAGATGGAGTGGCATTAATCTTGAAAAAGGGAGTAGAGCGATCTTTGCTAGAAATTGGAACCTGTCAGCAGTCGTCTGATAAGAGCTAGACTGAAAGGGAGGCACATCAACATCACTATAATCCAGTGCTATGCCCCGACGAACGACAGCGAAGATGAAACCAAACACAACTTCTACCTTAGTCTTCAGGCAGAAATGGAAAAGACAGCTAAGCACGATCTCATAGTTGTCATGGGTGATCTAAATGCGTAGGTGGGGAATTATGGTACAGAGGATGACAGGGCAAGGGGGAAACATGGATGTGGTAGCATTAACAACAACGAAGAGAGACTGGTGACCTTCAGCAACATGAATGACCTGGTCATTTGATGAATAGCGGGACATGGCGACATTCACTAATGGACGTCAAGGTGATGAGAGGAGGTGATGTTGGTAGCGACCATCACCTGGTGGACGCCTCTACCAAGCTCAAGCTTAGAAGCACCTGGCCACAGCCCAAAAGTCACAGACGTTTCGACGTAGATAGACTAAAGAATACAGGTTTAAGAACAGAATTTACCCTTCAGTTGAGGAATAGGTTTCTAGCTCTAGATAACCATGACGAGCCGATGGAGGGAGAACAGGATGAGCTCCTGAACAACATATGGGACATGATAACATCAGTGTATAGACAGAGCAGCGATAAATGCATAGGCTACAGAAAGAAGAAAAAAAAACACTGGATGACACCTGAAACCTGGAAAGCAATTGAGACAAGGCGCAGTATTAAGAGGAAGGTGACGGATGCAAAGTCTGAGAGGCTGAAAGAAAGATATCCGGAAGAATACAGAGAAGCGCACAGAATTATGGAGAGCCTTGTAAGAGCAGACAAAAGGAAGAGTCTTGATGACATGGCGTCAAAAGCAGAAGAAGCAGCAGCACCTAACGAGCAAGGAACTGTTTATAATATTACGAAACTTATCTCTGGGAAGTGCCGCACAAACAACAGCACACTCAAATAGAACAAAAAAGGAAGACTACTGACAACTGAAAAAGAGCAGAAGAGATG